AATGTTAAACCTGATGTGAATAAATTCATGTATATCTACTAGTTAAAGTACGGCCCTGAAATTGGTTGGGTTTCCTGAAATGGTGCTTAGTGTGGTGAGAATTTTTCCATCTTCACAAATCTTTCAAAGATTTCAAATCTCTTTTTTTTTTTAGTTAACTATTCACTTTGTAATCCTTCTAAACAATTGTTTCATTATCCAAATAATACCCTATGTTTCTAATGTACTAGCACCAAACTTCTCTAAAATTTAAATCATGGGTTGAACATTAGCTTTCCTTAAAAGATAGAGAGGAGATTGAATTGATAAAGAGATTATATCGCCTAATAAACTGTAAAGGGATAATAAACATTCCTATAGGCGACGGGCAACAGACCATTTTCAAAGGTAGATAGTTTTTAACCCGACCTTTTCCTATGTAGCTTATGTACTTGTTTTCATAACTTATATTTCTATTACGCAGAAGGGAAAGGTCATAAATTTGATTATCAAAAGTTCTAGGCCAAGCTTGGTAAAGCTCCAATTAGGCCTCAAGCTTAAGAGGATTGTCCTGCCAAAAGCAAAAGATCTCCCTTAAATCTAGAGGAGAACTTTGTTGCTTTGGAGGAAGAGCAATCTTTCTTTGTTTTGGACAAGGTCCTCTCGAATGTTGAAAGGTTTACTACGTTTTACCTTGAGCCAATATCTAATATTTTTCCTACCAAATTGGGGGTGATCACAAGGGGAAATCCTGGTCCAATTGATCGATTTGATCATATGTCGACTAATTTTAAAGTAAAGTGTCTTTGACAACTACTTTGATCATTGATAACCTTTTTGTAAGAAATACAACTTCTCAAATCGATGTTGAAGTGATGAATCACATAGGACTTGAAGGCAACCTAGATTCTACCGAGGTGATTGTGTGATAGAGTTTCATGCGATGGTTTGTGATCTTGTTGTGTGTAAGGTTTGTGTCGTGTTTGATTGATGAGATTAGACTAGTGTCTTGGCTAGGGTGTTCAAGAGTGTGAATCTTAGTCATAGTGTTTTACGTATAACTTGATAATCTTGTAAGATAGAGTTCCTATACATTATAAGAATACTAGAGCATCTCAAAGAAAGTTTTTTAGAAATAAAAGTAAATATTTTATTATGGGTTTTACATTTAAGTTACTTAAAAATGGAAAAAGTTGTTTAAAATTAGAAAAAAGTTATTTGGATAAATAACTGTAACCAAATTTTAAACAATTCAACTATGGATCCATAATAAAATATTTAATTTTATTCTTAAACAACTCCGGTTAAAAACTTCCTATAAATATATTCTTAATATATTTTTTAATTGATATAACTAAACGATTAATGTCATTTTTTATTACAGAATAATCCAATCTAATTCTTGTTTGCATAATTTTTCTTTCCTATTTTGCACTTACATTTATTCTCATCAATTCTTACACTTATACTTGTTCAAATAATACTAGTTGTTATGAAAATCTTTTGAATTTTTTTTATTCTATTTACCCTCTCTTAAATTCTCAGTTATTCTTATCAACAATTTTTTTTTAACTATTTCATGTAACATTAATATAATATAATAAAAATACGGAAAAATATAATTTGAGATAAACCTCCCTTATAAATGAGAATGTTATTTTAAAATTGTTTATGACTAATCTAAACAGTATTTTTACTATTTTTCTTTTAAAAATTGCCACAATTTAAGGGGTTGTTCTGTCAAAAATTCTGTAGATTTTTCTGTGTCAATTTTTTATTTTTACATAAATTAAAATCATAAATCTAAAAATAAGCCTCCCCGAATTCTAAACAAGCATGAGTCAGTAAATAATTCATAACAAATTTTAATCGACAAAATTATCCGAAACCAATATATTTTTTTTAATTAGAATAAAAATATTAAAAATAAAATCCCAAATCACTAAATAAAGTAAAAAAAAAAAGGTGAATCTTATAAATTAGTATTTTTGTGTTGAATGGTTAGATGATTCACGTAAGTTATATGATATTGGTCTTTCTGAAAAATTTATTCAGAAGAGACTATACAAATGAAACATGAATTTAATTCATATAAAATATTAACATCACCTTTAATGCAAAACTTTAAAATATGAGTTATAGGTATTTTATCCTTATATATTATTCAACTTCTTTATTTTTAATCAAGATGGAACTTAAACTCACATTTAAATTTTTCAATAATATATTAAGTGTGATATCACATTAATACATCTCCTCCACGTATCCAATAATGCTATTTATTTATGTCAAATAAAATTCAACTTTTGATTCAATTATTAACTCTAAAACTAAAATCAAAAAGATTTTCAGTTATATAAAATTAAAAAAATTTGGATTTTATTTAAATTTTTTTAACAGTCTATAAACTAAAAAATATATAAAGAGTGTTTCTTTTGTGCACTTATTATTATTATATTTTTTACCTGTTTAAACGACATCAGACTATTTTATTTTAAAATAGCACCTAAAAATCTTCAATTTATAATTTGGAATAACTTAAAAAAACCCTTAAAAAAAACGCAATAAAGGCTAACTTCATTTTGTTGAATTTTATGTTCCAGTTGATTAAAGTTTCTTCCAAAAATAATAAAAAAATTGAAAAAATATAACTAGTAAGATTTATTACCACATATAATCTATAATTTTAAATTTTCTTTGATATTTTAAATGAATATTTCTTTTAGAGTGTGCATCACAAGTACAGATGATTATTTTAATTGTTTTACAGATGTAAAAGAAAGTAAAAAAAAAGGAGTAAAACTATGTTCCAATATTTTGATATTTAAATTTTATATATAATTGTTAATCCAAAAGAAATTAAATGGTATATTGTAAAATATTACGATTTAAATAAAATTAGACGATAAAAGTTAAATATATAAACTAAAAGAAAAATAAATACTATATTATAATAATATTATTATTATTATTATCATAATTATACTATATTATAAACTTGACATTTTGGATTAGGATTAAAAATACTTCCAATAAATTACAAAAAATATAAATAAAGAAGGAATACATAAATATGTAATTTTAATGAAAATATAACGGTACAGTTTATATTGTCTTATTATTAATAATGAAATTAATATTTACTGTTACCTCATATTTTTAACCATATTTACTACTACCACATGTTACATCTTAATAGTGTGATGTTCTTATTATACTTTTTATAAACTATTACCTCACATTTTAACAATCAAATAAACTTTACAAATATTAGTTAACCGAACTTACTTTTATATTTAATTATTATAAATATTAAAAAAACTCTATGTTAAATAAGTTTACAAATAATAAAAGAAATAGTGTGAAATAAGGTTTTAAATGAAAATTCAGGTTGACCAGATTTTCAAAAGAAAGTCGTGTTAGACGGTCTTTGTGATTTTTTTTTTCAATTTTACACTAAAAAATTATCTAAATTAAACATAAAATTTAAACATGATTTAGTTTTTATTTAAAAAAACAGACAAAATCAAGAATTTAAATGATTTTTAGATTTTTTATTAAAAAATTATTAAGTATATTATAATAAAATAATTATTTAATTAAAAAAATATACTATAAAATTATCATATATAATTAATTATGATATTTATAATTTTAATTTATTTTCATACATTTTTATATTTAATTTAGAAAACTATTATCCTAAATTATAAAAAGTTAATTAATCTGTTAATGAAAGTCTTATTTTAAAAGTATTCATTATAATTTTAACTTTATTTGGTTTGGATAGTTTTTTTACTATGAAATCAAAAATCAAATCAAAATGTGATTTAAAAAATTTTCAATCCAAATAATAATAATAATGTTCCGCTTACAAGTGCAATTAAGAATTAACCTTGAAAATGTTATCTTAGTAGATATGATATTGAGGATGATCCTTTTCTGATAAAATATTACCGGGAAGATATCCTTTAGTCCTTGATTGAGAAGTTATATTTTAAGGCTGAAAATAAAGTTTTGTTTCACTCTCATACTCCTTAGTCCATGAAAAGTTATATTCTGATTCGTTATGAGTCTCATATCACTTAAAAATCAATGTCAATTATAATTTATATATACTCTCATATTTTAATCTAATATATCAAAGGACAAAATTATGACGAACAAAATTTTTTAAGATAAATAATATCTCATACATTTACTTATAATAAATAATAATAATTTTGATTAACTTTTAATTTTTTATTAATTTGAAATTTTATTTTTGAAATGATTTATTTTGAACAAGCAACGAATGGATTGAAGACTTAACAAATAACCTATATCATTTATTAACCCAAGCCAAGTCAGCTTTATTTACTTGGCGAGACAAGTCGCTCATTGATTAATACTTACAATGGAGGAAAAAAAACGATATAAAACGAGCCAAGAATGTTTAAAAGAAATGAAGTCAAATGAGGACGCGCCAACAAATACAAAACGCGGTTCAAACAGAATGAGCTCGTCAATCAACGAAAACAATAAATAATGATAGGACCGGTTATTCATAAGTAAGGAAAATGGTTTGAAGGTTGACTAACTTTTTATCATAATAAACTTATATTAACAAAATAATATTATAAAATTATAATATCATAATTTAATAATATTAAAAATAATAATATTTTATAAGTTTTTAATGTTTACAGTATGTAGAAAAATCAAATATAATATTTTAAGTTTAACTTTAATAACACATAATAATATATTTGAATATATTTTTAAAAAATAAAATAACAAATACCTTTTATTTATATTTTAAACCATTTTTTTTTTAACTGGATTACCGGTTTAGCTACTGATTCAATTGAAGATAAATTTGTGATTTTAATAGAAGAAGAGCATGTATATATATAAAAGAGAACAAGCTCTCTTGTTCTCATTCTTTTCCTTCTTGAAACGCAGGCTGTCTTTTGCTCTAATTCTGAGAGAGAAGGTGGAGATTGTGAGGTTTTTGAGTTTGATAGAGAGCATTTGGCTTCATGGGGAAGCTGGTGGAGATTATTGACCAAGGGATCAGGATTGTGGCAAGGTTTCACTCCAACTGCCCCCAAACAGGCCGCAAGTACTACCACCCTCCGTCCCTCTCCGACAACAATCACGCCCACCACTCCCACGCTGGTGCCACCGCCACCGCCGGAGTCAAAGAGACTGTAACTGCTAGGAATTTTGACATAATTATTTGTTCCGTTTGAAACAATCCTACATTTTAGTCTTAATCTTTGTTCCTTTGTTGCGAGGCATCACCTTCATGTATTAGTTAGTTCAATCAAGTTAATACCGAGTTCAAATTTTACAAACACCGTCTTCGCTTTTTGTTTTACAAGGTTATTTGCTCACTCGTATTGATTTTCTTAATTCAATATCAAAAGAATTTCTATTACATCAGTTCACAACTCCACAATCTAAATTTTCTAAAGACTTATCTTTGCCGTATAAAAAAAATCATATTATAATAACTCATTTAAAAATTTACTCTCATTTAGTTTATATATATATATTATATATATATATATATATATATATATATTTGTCTTAAATATTTAAGAAATTATGATGTGAGAAGTGTAATTTTCTATGTTAAATTTAAAGTCGTGTTTGTGTAACATGTTAATGAATTTGTTATAATATAATGTTATCTTTTAAAATTTGGATTTGTATTATATTATTTAATATAATATTTAATTTTTGAGATTTAAATTAAATTATTAATTTATCTTATATATTTTATACGTTATTTTGGATTTTCATCATTATATATTTACACAAAAATACATAAATTATATATATAATAAATGTTAATAAAAATAAATATGAGACTAATAATACAATATATATATATATATATAGCTTTATTTTTTATATTTAATAAATATAAATTTATATCTTAAGTTATTTTACGTATTTAAATTTTTTATCCATAATAAATATATTTGGATGTTGTTATATAAATTATCAACAATAATAATATATTGTCAATAGTTTATCACGAAAAAAAATAAAACTAAAAGTTTTAATCACACTAAATACTTTTCTTGGATTACTTTTTTACACGACCTTAACATTACTTTTTCTCATCAGTGTGTGGCTATCAGGAGAGACAAATAAACGTACTACCTTTCGTTTATTCGCCTCTAATTAGATTATAATGATATTTGACTTGTACATTTAATATAATATAATAAGATATAATTATTCTAAATACTAAGATATTTGACTTGTACGCTTAATAATATATTTTAAACTCAAATTTTAGGTTTAAAAAATAATAAGATATAATTATTCTAAACATTAAATAATATGGAATCTAATAGTTATCAAATTTGTGAATTAATATATCCTAGAAAATATTTTGAAATTAAAAAAAAATATTATTAAATCATTATACTCACATATAAATTACATTTGTGTATTTTAAAAAGCCCCTTGCGATCAAAATAAGATAGAATAACTATCTTATTTTATTCTATTCTTTTATATTATAGTATTCAAAGTATTACAAATTTTGTAATATATATATATATATATATATATATATATATTAAAATATAATACATAAATACATAAAAATTATAATAGCTTAAAATAAATTATAAATTTTGAATAAATATCTGCCGCTATCTGTTAATGAACTAGTTAAATGTAAAAAACTGTATTAAAAAGAAATAAAATACTATATAACTAGAGATTTTTGTAGAATGCAAGTAATGATTAATTTAAGTTTAAAAAGTAAAATTAATTTGGTAGGATAAAATGTATTAAGTTAAAAAGGTTAAAATAGAAAAATTAATTATTTAAATTTCAATTATGTAAAATTATTATCGTTTTATTTTTTATATTTTTTTTGTTTTTCTTTTTTAATTTGTATTTTTCTTCTTCAAGCATGTTATAATGTTCCTATACTAGGATATACTAATTCTTGCGTCATTAGAATTTTTAGTAGAGAGTATTTTGCATTTAGAGCAGGGATGTTTGCACTAGGGCTAAGATTGTCGCACTTGAATTTTGACAAATATCAATTTTGACTAATTTAAGAATATTATGGTATGTTTAATTTTGTTATTTGAGATAGTTTATGAATAGGATTTGACTTCTTACAAATTTGAAAATATTTAAAAATATTGTTTGAGAAGAAGAAATTAAAAAATATGGAAAGTTAGTATCTTTTTCATTTATATAGCACTAAAAGTTAAAGGATCTGAATATGGAAGAGTGACTTAGTCACTATGATTTTTTTTTTCATGATTTAATGGAAATTGGGAGAAATTTGTGAAATATATTTTCTTTGTTAAAGTCATGTTAAATTAATTTGAACAAGTGTTTGATGAGATGTGTTAATGTTGTGAATTGATACGTGAACATGAAAGCAATGAGGGGAAGATTGATGAAAATATTCTTACATTCCCAAGAGATGATTTTGATGATGATTCAAGTCAATTACATTCAAGTCAATACCATTCAAGATGAATTAAGGACAAGCTGAATTTAAGACGTTGGTAAAAATGTGAAACATTTCCCTACATGCCCAAGATATGTTTTTAATAAAGATGATGATTCAAGCAAGCCCAAGATGATTCCTGAAGACTAGATAGAGTTTTAGAATACTGGATATGGAGGTACAAGTTGATGAAGTAATATTATGCATAAGCCTCCAAAACACAAGTGTGATAAAATTCATAACATGATATTTTTCACTGTCATAATCAATTATGATGCATGAGAAATGAAAAAATGATTTTCTCTGTCATAATTGATTATACTTGGTAACATAATCAATTATAGAAATTCAAATTTGAAAAGTATATTTGTTTTGAAGAATAAATATTTTTTAATATATCCTGATTTTTATTCACAAAAATATTAATGTCCAACGACCATTTTCTGATGTTATTTTTCTATTTAATTAAGTTTTGATGAAAAATAAAAAACACACAATTACAGAAATCAAAAATACAATTTACATTCAATTAGTTTTGAGAAAAGAATTTTGAGCAAGACAACAGAGATATTTTACACCTTCTGAGAAAACCCTCTTCTCTACTGTCTTCTGTGCTTTCATTGTTAATCACACTTGTTCTTGGAGATTGACATTCTACAGGCTTCTACAATTTGTTGTCTCCATTACCCAGGTGTGACTGTTCTTATTTTTATTACCTTCATCCTTTGTGTATTGGTGGCAAAGGAGGTACTTTTCATCCCTACTGTGATTCTAGGGAGGTGTTCATCCTTAGTGGAATTCTAAGGAGGTGTTTTTCATCTTTGATTTGTTCAAAGGAGGTGTTCATCCTAGTGGGATTCTAGGGAGGTGTTCATCCTTAGTGGGTTTCTAAGGAGGTGATTGTCTTTTTAATTAGTTTACTTTTTACTGGTTCTTCTGTTGAGTTGATTGTAATTTGTAAACTGAATTTGAAAGATAGTGAATTGGGAGTCACTTTTGTGTTAAGAGTTGACTGGGAACTGGATGTAGGGTTGGTTATACCCGAACCAGTATAAATCATTGTGTGCTCTTCTCTTTCCCTTTTCTCTTTCTCTTTTCCTGATTATATTATCGCTTCCGCTTTATCTATGTTCAAACAAATTATTGACTCCAAATAAATTTTTAATTTGACATCTATTTTAATTTGTGCATATATTCACCCCCTCTAGATGTCATTTGTTTAACAAGTGGTATCAAATCTTGAAGTAACACATGAAGGAACAAATGAAGTAAAGCGAGCACGTAAGAACACACTCATCCAGGAGTATGAGTTATTTCAAATGCAACAAAATGAAAGCATCACAGATTTCCAAACACGCTTCACACATATAATAAAATCACTTGAAAACATTAGGAAAAAGTTTTGACAATGAGGAGTTGAGCACAAAGATCTTAAAATCCTTAGACAGGAATTGGCAACCAAAGGTCACTGCTATTACAGAATCAAAGGATCTCACAAAAATGAATATTGATACTCTATTTGGAAAGTTGCGAGAACATGAGATGGAGCTACAAAGGTTAAAGAATGGTGAACAGAATCAAACCAAGACGATAGCTCTAAAAGCAGAAAAATCTTCACAAGATGAAAGTGAAAATGAAAGTAAGTTTTCGAATTCCGATATGTCTCTTTTTGTTAAACAATTTTCTCGCTTTATGAAGAACAAGAAAAAGAGACAGCAAAGAAAGGAGAAAACAAATAAATACCATTGCTATGAATGTGGAAAGTTTGACCATATCAAACCAGACTGCCCGGAACTTAAGAAAGAGAAGAAAGATGTGAAAGAGAAGAAGAAAGAGAAGAACGATACCTATAAGAGAAAACACAAATCTTATATTACTCAAGTGGATAATGATTCTTCCACAACATAAGAGAGTTCTTCTGAAAGCAATGATGAAGAAGAAGAAGCAAATATTTGCTTTATGACAAAAAGTAATGATGAAGTCTCATCACAAGAAACCTCATCATAAGTAAGCAGTACAAAATCCTTAAATGAATAAGATGAGTTGTTTAAAGAATATCAAGATATGTATGAAGGTTTTACCAAGTTATCTAAGAAATACAATGCACTTAGGCAAAAGTTTAATGCATTAGAAAATATTGTTAGTATTCTTGAAAAAGAAAATGAGTGCTTAAAGAAAGATGTTGAGAAATTTAAAACTTTGTCTAAAATATAAAGAAGTTGCTAAACCTTGTGAAAATTGTAATCTTTTGGAAAATGAGATTTTCAAGTTAGAGAAAATAATAAGCAAGTTTTCAAAATCTTCTGAAAATCTTGATTCTATATTAGGTTATCAAAGAGGGAATTCTAGCAAAGTTGGACTTGTTTACAAACCCAAAGAAAGTCTAGAACCTCATAAAATTATTTTTGTGAAAGAATCAAGGAAAACAGATGTGAAACCAGTTTCAAAAACTTTAAGAAACTCATTTAGACCTTTTCAAAGAAAACCAACATGTTTTTATTGCATGAAATTAGGTCATACATCAAATAGATGTTACATAAAACATTTTGGCATATCTAGTGGAAAATATGAATAGGTGCCTAAAGGAACAAAACATTTATATATGTCTAGATGATAGTTTGAGCATCTAATTGATTATCAGAATCAGAAATTTTTTTCTTGTTGTCATAATCAATTATGTTGAAAGTTTGAATTTTGAAAGTTTGAATTTATGAAATTTTGAAATTATTAAAGTTTGAAATTTTGCAGTTTGAGATT